GAAAGACAAACATGGTATGTAATCACTCATAAGTGGATATTAGATGTAAAACAAAGGATAACCAAACTACAATCCACAGCTCCAGAGAAGCTAAGTAACAAGGACAACCCTAAGAGGGACGTATAGATCACCCTGGGAAGGGGAATTAAATGAGATCTCCTGGGTAAACTGGGAGTGAAGAGAGGTGGTAAAAAGGAGGGGATAAGGGATGAAAACATGATGGAATGGGCTGGTCGAGGCTGGGAGGGATGCAGTGGAAGAGCCATGAAAGAGGTATCTTAATAGAGAGAGCCACTATGGGCTTAGGGAGAAACCTGGTGCAAGGGTAACTCCCAAGAATCCACAAGGAGGACCCCAGCTAAGACTCCTAGCAATGGTGGAGATGGTGCCTGTATTGGCCTTCCCCTGGAATCAGATTGGTAAATACCCCAACTGTCATAGAGCCTTCATCCAGTAATTGATGGAACCAGTTGCAGAGATTCACAACCAAGCACCAGGGCAAGCTCTGGGAATCCAGTCAAAGAGAGGGAGGTCAAGATCATGATGGAGAAATCTACAGAGACAGCTGAACCAAGCTTGTGGAAAATCTTGAACTCTAGACTGACAGCTGTGGAGTCTCCCAGGGATTCTGTATGTGGGAGACAGTTGTGAAGCTTGGGCCATCTGAGAAGCCCCTGGCAATAGGACCAGGCTCTGTCCTGGGTGCATGAGCTAGCTTGTTGGAGCCCATTCCCTATGAGGAGATGCCATGCTCAGACTTAATGCAGGGTGGGAGGCGCTTAGTCCTGCCCCAACTTAATATGCCGACTTTATTGACTTCCCATGGGAGCCCTTACCCACTAGGAGGAGTGGATGGGGGTTGGGCTGGGGGGGATGGAGGGGAAAGAGGAGTGGGAGGGAGAACTGTGGTTGGAATGTAAAATGAAATTAAAAATAAATAAATTTTAAAATAAAAGGAAGACTATGTAACCTAGTTCCATTTCAAAGATGCACATTGAACTATCAAAAGTTCTGGGAAGTTCTACAGCTAAGAACATGTTTCACCCAGTTTGCTCTAAACTTTCCTCTCCAGGGAACCTTTTAGGTTAGTGCCTATCCACACATCTTTAAACTGACCAGTTCCATCAGAGGAGCCTGGTGAAAGCCTGCCCTCCAAAGGCTCCCTCACTTCAGATGGTTACCATGCCCCCTGCTGGCTCATGTGGCGAGGGCATTAAACAAGCTATTTCCATCCTGTAACAAAAACTCATGTTAATGTCACTACAGTCTTGGTCAGACTTTTGGCTATGTTTAACACACTGTGATAAAGAGTCACAGCTCACTGCAGTCTGATTACAAAAACAAAGGGTTTTTCAATTTTCAAAACATTTTTTTTTGTTTTGTGTGTATGAGTTTATGGAAGGTACACACTCCACAGAGTGTGCATATAAGTTAAAAGACAACTTTGGGGAGTTAGTTCTCGTCCTTCGTCTTCATGTGGGTTCTGGGGATGGAATTCCGGTCACCAGGCATTCACAGTAGCACTTTAACCTGCTAAGACACATCACCAGCCCCAGAAGGAAGATTTTAGTGAAGACTCCAACGCTGAAGTCAGACCATGCAAATCAATGCCAGATGCCAGTGTCCAAGAATGTGGATAACAAAACCAGCAAAGGGCGAGCATGGGGTCCTTTAGGATTCTTGCAGATTAAATATATGGATTAAAACATTCAATTCTGCCAGGCATTGGTGGTGCATGTCTTTAATAACAGCACTCAGGAGACAAAAGCAGGCAGATGTCTGTGAGTTTGAGGTCAGCCTGGTCTGCAGAGCAAGTTCCAGGACAGACTCCAAAGCTACAGAGAAACCCTGTCTCAAAAAATAAAACAAACACAAAAAACAACAAAAACCATTCAGTTCTACTCATTCATTCATTCATTCATTCATTCATTCATTCAGCATCGCAGGGCTGGGACCAAGCCTTCAGTGCTGTTTGTGTGTGGAACGTGATCTCACAGGAGCTATGTTCATGGTGAGTTCACTTTAGCAGAGCCCTTCAATGTCTAGCAGCAGGCGTGCTAATCCACAATTCCACCGGAGCCAGGGTTGACACACATGGATTCAGTCTCACTACTATCAGATCAAATTTTTATTACCACATATTAATTGTGCAAAGCAATAGGCTTGTTGTAACATTTCATAATATATACGATGCACTTTGGCCAGAGTCACACCCACCTTCTCCCCACCCACTAGCTCTTTCCTGTTCTCTAATAGCACCCCCTTTACTTCATCCTTTTTTCACCCCTAAATCCCACAAGTGAAAGAAGATGTGTGTGCTTGTGTTTGTGATCCTGGCTCACCATGAAGATACACAGGGTCCATCCATTTTCCCAAAAAAAGATGCTTTTATTTATGGCTCAGTAAGCTTCCACTATGTGCTCAGTTCATTCTGCTGATTGTGTACCTTGGCTATTGTAGGCAGTGTGTGGATGGCAGGTAATTTGATTCCTTTGGGTAGAGAGTTTGCTTATTTTCTTGTTAGTAGCCAACTCAAGTAAGATAGAATTCCAATTTTGCTTAACCTGCATTTCCCTAATGTTTAAAAATGCTGAACATTTTTATGCATTTATTGGTTATTTGTATTTCTTCATTTGAAAGGGTCTGTTCAGTTCATTTGTACATTTATTGACTGGGTTATTTGCTCCGGTAGTGTTTTAATTTTGTGAGCTCTTCACGTGCTCTGGGTAGTAATGGCCTGCTGGATGAGTAGCTGGCACAGATTCCCTCCTCTTCTGTAGGCGTCTCACTTTGCTAACTGCTTCTGTGACTGCACTGGGGTCTTTAGTTCAATACAATCCCATTTGTGAAGTCTTACTATTATTTCCTCAGCTACTGGAATCCTATTCAAAGTGGCCTCGACCCTGCCTGCATCTTGTAGTGTTTCCAGCATAGTCCCTCAGTTTCAGACTTTTGGGTCCTACATTAAAGTCCTTGATCGACTGATTTATGTACATAGGATTTTTATACGGAGACCTAGTCTCACTCATGTGCACGCAGATGCCCAGTCTCCCAGCATCACTTAGAATATGTGGTCCTTTTTCCAGTGTGTGTTTCCTCTTCTCTTGTCAAAAGCCAGATGGCTGGAGCTTTAAGAGTTTATTTCTGAGTCTCTTGAGCCACATCTCCAGCCCAAGTGTCACCACTTTGGGTGGTTATAATTGTTAAAATGATATCATGATCATTTCTAGGAGGAAAAAAGTAGAAACAAAATAATTATAGAGAACAAGATGGGGACAATAAAGCAACTTATAGAGTGATTTATTTGGAAAGATCTTAGTTTATTCCATAGTTGTTTATAGACTGTTGTGTAATTTGAGAGAAAAATCTGAAAGTATTTTCTACAAATAGTCTTTCACAATTTGTCTTGTTGACTATCTATTTTAGAATAATGCATATTGCTATCAGAATTTTCCAACAAAATGACCATTTTGTTTGAATAAACAAAGGCTCAGTGGCACACACAGCTGCTGCCTGACTCCACATGAGTTGACAAGAGCTGGGCAACCTGTTTTTCTTTCTTTTCTTTCACTTCTTGTCTCCATCTTATTGTCCCAAGTGGATTTCTCCAAGAGGCCTTTACCCCGGAGAAGCAGCAGCCTTGGCTGCAGTCTGTTGACTCTCCTGGAACAAAGGTCCTGATGTTCCAGATTTCAACATTTTAAGAAAACGCTTGAAATCCCACGTTATGCAGTATTTGCCAATACTTTTAGAGAAATACAGGCAGTGTGGCAGCCTCAGTTCAAAAGTTCTAGAATCCTGTCCCCAGAACCCTATCCTAGTATTCAAAGTTGGATTTTGTCATGATCAATGACAACGCTAAAATGCACAGGATCTGGAGATGGCTCATTGGTTGAGTACAAACTGCTTTGGAGAGGATCTGAGTTTCATTCCCAGCATCCTTGTCAGGTGGCTCACAATTGCTTATAACTACAGCTCCAGGCACTCCAATGCCCTCTTTTGGCCTCCACGGGCAACTGCACACATGTGGCTTACATGTGTGTGCATTCACACAAATAAAAATTAAAAATACATTTTTAATGCAGATTCCTGGGCTTGCCTGGGACTCAGTGTCTGAAGTGAGGAGAGCAGCTTTTCTTCTGACGTGTGGCTTCTCAGCACTGATACAATCACCTGAAGCAGCAGCAGCCTTTTGAAGAGCTGCACAGGTGACTTGGCCAAACACTAAGAGCTGGGCAGTGCTGCCTTGGGAGTGGACAAAACAAAAATTCAATTTCATTTTGATTTGCCAAAGAATTATTGGTGGGTCTGGAGAAGTGTGTCGAGGCAAACAGTGACCATGTGGAGAACAAGCATGCAGGAAGGAATCCTGAGTCAAAGACTGAATTCTAGGATTTCTCAGCTCCAGAGTTTACCATGACATAGCCATTTCCTTGATTCCTAACCCTGGCAATTCTTCACAATGCTCAGTACTTGGCTTTTTTTTTTTTTTTTTTTTTTTTTTTTTTTCTTTTTCCCCCCCCCCTCTCCCAGCTGACTACATCAGAATCTGAGGTTGTATGTGGGGCTCCTTGTTATTTTAACAGCCCAGAATGACTGTCCTATCACCCACCAGCAGGCATCCCCTGCTCTGTGACACACTGTAACCCACACTGTGTGTTGTTGACATCACAGTTAATGCTGTTTTCAGGGTTCTATGAGCCTAGGTCTTTGGGGACCATTCTTTCACCTCTTGCTCCTACCTTCTAAGCTACCATCCTTAAGATTTACCACATTATTTATTTTTGTGACTGTCCGTGTGTTTGGAATGGAGGTGGTGTTTGTGGAATTTTGTGACCTGTTGCCTGGTAACTGTGCCTAAGACCACTAAGCTCTCTGTGAGCCGTGAGATTTCAGAAGCTTGGTCAGCCCGGTCGATAGTTTCCTGCTACTAGAAGGAAAGGATCGCTTCTCTATGCCCAGGGCTTGAAAAGCTGTAACTCAGCAGCTCACCCATAGCCATGTCACACTTCTTCTACTTGGCTCCAGAAATTCTGCTTCCCTTTAGCCCTCTCACTTCGAAAGAGTTCGAAATGATCAGACGCAAGGCCCGAGAACTGTGGCAGGAGGAGACTCAGTGGTCCGCTTCTTCAGTGACAACCTACTCGGGCAGTTACCGGCAAAAGCAACTGGATGAGGCCACGTGCAACCGACTGGCTCAAAGAGCAGGCCAGCAACAGTTTGAGTACAAACAGTAAGATTCCTTTGTAACATGTGCCAAGATATGTTGCTTTCAAGAGACAGGTGCCATTAGAGAGGGGGTATCAGAGAGCTGGGGACACTTCAAAGATGTTCGCCCTTCAGCTTCCTGTGTACATGTCAATTGCCAGCATGGCTCCCCCTCAAAATGGTATATAACCACTTATTACTGGATGATCTCAAAAAGAGGGCTTAACTAATGGAGATATTTTTATTTTGTGAACTTGTCTATTATTCCTTTTTTTTTATTGTGTCCGTATATGTGTGGTCACATGGGAAGGTCAGAGAACAACTAACACTTGTTCTCCTTCGATCCGGTGAGTTCCTGGACTCAAACTATGGTCATCGGGCCATCTTGCTGCCCCTCCCTCCTTATAGATAGGGTCTCCTGTGTCCCAGACTGGCCTCAAACTCACTCTGTAGCCCAGGGCAACCATAAACTCAGGATCCTCCACCTCCTGAGTGAGGAAACACAGGCATGAGCCATCATGCCCAGTTTATGTGTGTGGTACTGGGCATCAAACCCAGGGCTTCCTTGAGGCTAAGCAAGCACCTACCAACCGAGCCAGAGACTTGGCCTAAAACAGTGCTTCTGAGAATTTCCTTTGTTTCCTGTAGTCTTTCGCTTGGTGGAAAGCCATCAAACCCACCAACGCCGTAAGCACCAGGGCTTATGGGTGCCCGTAAGAGCTGAGGTCCAAAGACATTTCCAACCGTTTATTGGGAAGCCAGGACCTGTGGTAGGCCCACAGTCAAAAATTAATTCCATCTCAATTCCACAACTACATTATAACACTCAACTCATGGGAAGGAGGTTTGGCTCATCAGCAGGTCCTGAAGAAGAGAGTTCAGTCTAGTGAGAGCTTGGTAAAGCAAGCTTTCCATGGTGGGGAATGGGAAAAACACACCACTCAGAGGAAAGCGTGTGCACCTGGGCAAAGCCTCTGGGAACCGCCTGCACACCAGAGGCTATAGGTAGCTCAGTGCTCATGAGCAGATAGTGTAAGTCAGGACTCCAGAAAATTCCAGGGCTAATAATGAAATCTGTTCCTTTGGGTGTTATTTAGTAAATGCCCAAATTCTGGAAAAGTCTTTGAAAATACACTGAATTATTGGCTACAATTCCCAATATAGGAATAATCCATGTATGGCTCTAATAAATAGTTATAGGGCTGGAGAGATGGCTTGACTGTTAGCACTGGCTGCTCTTGCAGAGAACCAGAATCCAATGCCTCGAATGCATGTTGGGTTAGTACCTGTAACTCCAGAAGAGAAATGTCTTCTAAAGTTCTAAGCAAAAGCTGTTTGATTAAAAATTCTGTGAAACTGTAGGGAGTTAGTACCTGTATCTCCAGGAGAGAGGATGCCTTCTGGCCTTTGTAGGCACCCACCTGCATGTCGGCATCTCTCTCTCTCCCTCTCTCTTTAAATAAAATCTTAATCAAATATACTAGTTACCTGGCCTTCCAGATCTTTCCAAATCTTGGAAATCAAGCACATTATCTCATTTTTCCCAACACCTTTTGTAATAGCCCTCAAGCTTGTCAACCTTTGGAGGTTCCTTTGCTAAGTCTGAGGCTGTTGGGGAACCCCTTGGCCACGTAGGGGGATCTTTATACATTACTGAAGTCTGCTGTGAAAACACATGGATCCAAACAGATCCATGCAGCAAATTTGCTGTTGTTTAATAGACCTTAAAATGCAGACACGTGACATGTGGTGAACATGTACATAACTTTGAATGTGTTCCTCATTGTGTGATTCATTCCAGTCAGGGAGCCCAAGACATTGAAAACCACAAAAGGGCACATGCTTGTGAAGTTTATCTGGTGTTTTGGGAGTCTCAGACACTTTAGCATATCCATTGCACAACTACTGTTCTACGGGAGGCTAAGAAGCAGCAATGACATGAGAGGCAGACTGAGCTTAATTGAATAGGACTGAACTGATTGCATGCTACATTGATTTTGTTTTAAATCTCTTTACTAACTTTAGTCCAGAAGAGAAATGTCTTCTAAAGTTCTAAGCAAAAGCTGTTTGATTAAAAATTCTGTGAAACTGTAGGGAGACATTGTTTATGGTGCTATGAGGTCTTCCATGTGAAGATTCTACAGGTGAGAGTACATAGCATGGTTACAGGGACTGGCTTCTGGTGCAGGACCGTATCAGAATACAAATGGAAATGTTCATTTAAAATTTATCCAGCCAGGCTGGACAGTGGTAGCACACGCCTTTAATCCCAGCACTCGGGAGGCAGAGGCAGGCAAATCTCTGTGAATTCGAGGCCAGCTAGTCTACAGAGCAAGTTCCAGGACAGGCTTCAAAGCTACAGAGAAACCCTGTCTCAAAAAACAAAAACAAACCTTTAAAAAATTATTAAATGGACAGAACTAGAAAAAAAAAAAACAAATCTGAGTGAGGTAACCCAGATACAGAAAGACAAATATAGTATGTACTCAAGCATAAGTGGATACCAGCCATCAAGCAAAAGACACCCAACCTACAATCCACAACCCCAGAGAAGCTAGAACCCTCTTCCAGAAACAGATGGAAGCAGATGCAGAAATCCACAACTAACCAATGGGCCAAGCTCCTGGAGTACAATAGAAGTGAGAGAGGAGTGATAATATGAACAAAGGAGTCAAGACCATAATGGGGAAACCCACAGAAAGCTGACCCAAGCTAGTGAGAGATCACTCACTCGGGTCTGATTAATGGGGAACATGCCTAAGACCAAACTAGACTCCCTTAATATGGGTGACAAAAGTGTGACTGGGACAATATATGAGACAATATATGGGTCCTAGATCTAACTCTAATGCACAAACTGACTTAGTGAAGCCCATTCTATATGGAGAGATAACCTTGCTCAGCCTAGACATAGGGGTGTGAAGGATGGGGAGGTGCCTTGGTCCTGCCTCAAGGAGATTTTGGGACAGACTTAGTAGACTTCCTAAGGGAGAACTTACCCACTCCGAAGAGCAGATGGGAGGTGGGTTGGGGGGAGCAGGAGGAGAGAAGGGAGGGGGAATTGCAATGTAAAAAAAATTTAAAAATGCTTTAAAATGTATCAAGCCAGAAAAATGCTGTCTCTAGAACACAATACTTTTCATTCATATTGTTTATCCTGTGTTGCAATGACATCCTGAACCACACTGTTTGCTTGTTCTTAGCCTTAATTGTCAACTTGCCAGTTTACTGTCATCTGGCAGGAAAGTCTCCATTGAGGAAATACCTAGGTCGGATTGTGGGCATCTGTGTTCGGAATTGCCTTGATTATCAGTTGATCAGGAAGGCTCAATCACTGTGAGCAATACCATTTCTGGGGTGTGTGGGGGGGTGATCCTGGGCTGTGCAGGAAAGCTAACTAAGCATGAGCCTGTGAGCGAGTCACACCATGAGCCAGTAGGAGACATTCCTCCAAGGTTACCTTGCTTTGAGTTCCAGCCCCAACTTCCCTTAAGGATGGATGGATTGTGATCTTTATGATACTTTCCTTCATAATTGACATAAACTGGAAGGAACTAATAGGTAAACAGACAAATGATGATACATCCATGTTATGAGAGATTCTTGGCCCAGCTGGTCCCTTAGCCCTTGAGCCCCAAATAAACACATGGGTACTTATATAAGTCATAAAACTATTGGCTGGTGGCTTGGGCTTCTTATTGGCTAGATCTGTCTTAATTATTAACCCATTTCTATTAATCTAAGTATTTCCACATGGCATCCTACCTTCCAGGTCTCACATGGCATCTGCTATCTGCCTACACTTCCCAGAGTTCTCCTCCTCTCCTAACCCTGCCTATACGTCCTTCTCATTGGTCACAGCGTTTTATTCATCAACCAATAAGAGAAACATATATACAGAAGGGCATCTCATCACATCCATACAATGGAATATTATCCAGTAATTAAAAAGATGTGTGATTTCAGGCTATGAAAAGCTATGAATGAATCTTAGGTCCATATTTCTAAGTTAAGACATATGAAGTTGCATACTATATATTGAAAACATGCAACTCCCAAAAAGGAAATGTACACAATATACAGAGCACTGTTTCCATAGGATGGGCAGAAGTTAAACAGATGAAACACACTGATATTTCTGGGCTGTGAACTTGTTATGTGTGATGCCAAACTGTTGAACACAAGGCATTAAATATTTGTCAAAATGTATAGCACTTCATAGCATAAAGAGTAAACTTTATGCAAATTAATAAAAACATTTAGGAGTTTCAGAAAGTTAAAAATAGAATAAAGAAATTGAAAAATATGAATATATTATGAGATGAGCTCACTGGGCATTCCATTAAAGGCTGATGTCAGTAAATTTAGAAGTTGGCAGGGGTTATAAAGATTAGGGAACTGAACAAGCATGGTTTTATGACTGGCACAGTTGTTTCCGACTGGGTTTGAGCAATAATTCCAAAACTATTATATGTATAGGCTAGAACTGAGCAATTCAGTATATGAGTGGTAGGTGATGGAAGCCAAGATTTTTATGGGAAGAGGAAGTAAATGATAAGGAGTAGGGTCTAGAAACGACCCGTCATAAAAATCAAAATTAGATACTTGCTTAGGATATTTAGAGATAATGGTATGTAGAAATAGTTATACAGATGTGTCTTATGCAGGTTATTGTATATTTCCTCATTCTCTGCTCAGTCCATGTTAGTATAGACCTTTACACAAAAGGGCCTTGAAGCAAGGTTATGCAAGAGCAGAAATATCAAGTGCCCTGATTTTGGTTCCTGCTAAGTTTTCTCCAGTACAAAGGAATCAGATTTACTTAGGGAAATACTGATCCTTAGACTCAACCAGGTGATAGACACAATAAGCATGGAGCATGGTAGAACCAGAAAGTGTTAAAATGCCAGGAGGTAAAACAGCAATGGTGGGGACAAATGAAAGTTCCAGATGGCTAAAGCTGAAAGATATTGAGGAAAAATAAACATATTACTGTATTATAGCCCAAAGTGCCAAATAAACATC